CGTACATGCGGTGACGAGTTGCGCCACCGAATAGTACACCAAAACATTCGATATGGCACATTGTCCCGGAGCAAGGATGGGACTGCCGCCGTGCCTGAATGGCGTGCTGCGACGACATGTTGTGTATTAGACCTGTGTATGCCGGATCCACCACCGTCATTACTACCATCACCATCACCATCGCCATCCGCATCTGCGTCCCGCGTATCATCACATCCTAAAGCGCGCAAGATGCCTCGCTGCCCTAGTGCCTAGCGCTAGAGCCTAACCTCATACCGTAATTGCATGCTTGTGATGCACATGTCTTCACACCAGAAGCTGTTGTCGCATAGATTTGGGCCAATTCCAGCTTCCTATGCGTCTTCATGTTGTATCTCGGTCTGCAAGGTCCATCCGACACTGGACAAGCATTCGCCACCACACTTAAAATGTTGCATTTGACGTCCTACCATGGCAAGGGGGAAAAACCTGGACTGCGTGGGCCATCCAACCGTGATGAGCATACATAGATTGTACGCCGTTGATGCTGGTCGCTGCACGGCCCTGCTATTAGTAGTCAGAAATTACCGCTCCGTAATACGGGGTACAAGTGGTCTCTTTTACTTTTGCCCGCACCTGTCATGTCTTGTAGGGATGAACTTGTCACATTGCAGGGCTACCGTGCCGGTATTACTACTAGTAGTACTGCTACTAGGAGTGGGAACATTGGAATATTGGAAATTTCAGATGTTGGGCAATTGGATCCGCGCCTCGCCGTTCAACGGGACGGGCCAAGAGCCACAAGCGTGGTGATTGGGGACGGCAGCGCCTTCCGCGTTCCGCTATTTGCTGGCCCGTCTTCAACCCCGACCCAGCAGGGAAAGAGCAGCCGCTGACCGATGCGTGGTCGCTGTTGTCTCTTCAACTGTTGGTCGAACCAACAACGTTGGAAAAGACTCGAGACCCAAAGGCTCGACTAGCTTGCTGGTCAAGTTGCAGGTACGAGATCGGCCATGCAAGATGGACCTCTTTCGATGTTGGGGCCCTCCGATTAGCTTTGCAAGCTCTTCATCCAACTCCATAAAGGCCAACAGGTGCTCCCGACATCCGCGGGGAGAAGGTTCCATTCATCAGATTGGCCCGTGCCATGGAAAAACGACTCCGTCCAGACAGAGCAAGCAACGCCGAGGCCTGGTAGCCGCCAAGGACGACCAGACCTGTCGTTGCCATCACCTTCCAGATGGTAGACGTGCAGACTTTTCTTCTGGTGAGCCCCCATCCCGTATTTCGAGTTTCGTCCGAGTTACATTCGCAATGATTACCGCTGCAGGATGTGCAAAACAAAGAATGTTCTCTCTTCCTCTCTTGAATCGCAGTCCGCAAAAGCTACCTGAATTCACCCAAAGAAGCAATCGAACCTCGCTGGCCACAGGCCATGGCCAAACAGTATCACATTTGATTTGAATACGCACACACGCCTCTGTCTTGCGTTGGATATTGAAAGCTCAGAGGCCTCGTAAACCTTGACCTTCCTGTGGCCTTTTGAGGGGACTACTACGGCATGAACGGTGGGTTAGTAAAGACCCTTATCCTCGTGTTATGCACAAAGAATCTTGGATTAGAGCCATTGCATCTCTTTGTCAGAGTCTGAAGAACCATCAACTTTCAAAACTGTCGAGGAGCATAGGCAATCACTTGCACCATGTTCACGACATACAGTTCGACACAGTAAGGTATACGTTGGAACAACGACAATACAAATTGTGTGAATGGTTACAAAAGTCCTCAGATGCAGACCCAAGCCTCGGACATCTACTGCGTTGGGCACTCCATTTTCCCTGGCAAGGTAGTATTGACTGATCTTGCGATTTGTCACTTGGCTGCTAGTTGATATGCTTGGCGGTAATTGGAATTCGAGTGCCGTCAACACTGCCGGTTTGAAAACGCAGATTTTTGAGCCTGGGAGAAGGTAACCGGGCCTTGACGCTAATATAGCACTACGGAGACGCGGGTTTTTGAAGTTGATTGACTTCCTGTAATTGACTACGGATTGGTTATTCCTTAGACATCAGATGCTATCAGCCCCTGCTGACTAGTATGGAGGCCTTTCGTCACTGTGGACATTGGATACCGAGGCAAAAGACCTAGTAAATCCTCATGGCTCGGCGTGCGCTATGCAAACAGGTTTTAGGACACCAAACTGGTGAATATCACGCCGATCGCGAATGGATCGAAATCCGAGGGCCCTACCAAGCTATTACTGCACAAGGTGAGATGTAATGTGCTAGAAAGGGCTAGAACTAGTGCCAAGGACACAGATGCTACGGAATGCTGGACTTGTCCTCCCGACCTCTGTGCGTACTTTCTACTCGGATCCAGAGCATACATGGTATTTCCAGTCCTGCCAGAGCCCTCTTTCCTATCGAAGCCATTTACGCGATCGCCAGTGGATTCGCTTAAATTTGCGCGGTCAACGCTTTTACTGAGGAACATGCAGCGTAATGCGACGATTGTTACGTTGTATCGTGATATAACTGTTGGCGCAATATACTACCACATTTCAGGAGGCTATACAAATACGATGCAGAACATTCGAGCTGTGCATATAATGGGGGGATACTCACGGGCCAACTGAACGGGAGGGGAACCAGGGGGCAGCATGCCTTTTTTGCCGCTGCAGTACGGAGTACGGAGGATACATTGTACGGAGGCAAAAATCATGGTAATACGGAGGAGACGATGGCTTCCACTGGAATACTACTCCGTACATGCGTTCACCATTTACTATTACGGAGGGAGTGTTGCCTCTGGCTAAGCCACGGTTTGATCCTTGTGAAAGTAACACGAACCGCCAATGTCGGCAGTGGCCTGACATGCAAAGAGTCCGGTCGTGTTACTCGTGGCGCCCTAATGCAAGGCCCGGCGTATGTGACCACGTCGTTCATATTGGCGATGTTACGCGCCCACCGCGGACCCTGGCACTTTTGCCCGTCGTCCCATCACGGCCCGCATTGCCTCCGTCACAGAACCGCCTTGCCACCGTCGTCCCCGTTGTCCAGGTTCCGTATCAGGCAAATTATGTTGTGTTGTGCGAATTGGGTCTCGGATGGGCGGTGGTTTCGCCAACTGGTATGCACCCCGGACACAAGGAGGAGAATTGGGCACCTGAGCGGCTATGAGATGAATTCGAAAAGAGGGAGAGGGGGAAAGAAAAAAGAGAGAGACAAAAAAAAAAAAAACAAGGAAAGACCGCCTAGCGCAAGTCTAAAAAGCAAAGATCCGCCCGGCTATTCTATCGACAAGTAAGATATAAAGCTCTCCCACCATGGAGCGATATATCCAAATATCCGCCTCCTTGCTCAATTGCTTGCACATTACGGAGTAGTATTACTATCAAACCCAGAAGCCATGGCCAGGTGCAACATCCGGACTTGCATTCTACATATGTACATGGCAAGCCGACAGAGCGGGCCATAAAATTGTCCGCTGCATGTGATTTCCGCAGGGTCTGTTCGTCCCATGTCACTGGGACGCTCTGGCTATTGTGACCACGTAATAATTTGTCCTCTCCGGGAGGAGAAGAGGCCGACCCAGACCGCTACTACTAATACGGAGTACTACTTCTACTTCTCCGTACTCCGTGGTACATAGTACATACTAGGACTCAGGCTCTTGTCATATTCTTCTTTCTGACCGGATCCCGCTCCCGATGCTGGGGTCTCCTGGCTTTGGGCTGCCATGGCCCCAGGTCTCACTTGGCTATTATTTTTTTATGTTTTTTTTTTCGAATCCACAATAGCCCCTTGTCATGCGGAATCAGTCGAGTACTCATTTGCCTGCCGGTCGAGTCGAGTCGCGGAGAGAGAACGGAGCATTCAGTGGCGTCTGTTCTGGCTGCTACTCGCGCCGTCCAACTTCCCGGCAAGGAAAAGTCGTCTCTGGGCATGAATGCGAGGAATCGATTAAGCCGTGTTGATCACCTCTTTTTAGCGTCGTTCAAACACGCGTCCCCAGTTGAGAGGCAAGAATCCGGCGGTCATCTTGCATGAGGGCCAGTACCGGTGCCATGGGAAGATGGACGTGCCCCTTTGCAAGTGCCCACTTGGTTGCATGCGACTTGTTCCGTAGGGCCATTTCAGTATCTAGACATTGAGCACGGTGTTACGGGAGTACAATGGAGTATGGTTGTGTTCCGGCTGAGTTGTTGAATGCCGTTCAACATGCCCGTCCAAGGCCTGAGCGGACTAGAATCTCGCCGGTGCCTGTTGCGATGCCACGGGTTTGAACTGCAGTGGCTGAATTAACAGTGCATTTGGTCACGGTACAGCATGGCAGTTTGTTGGAATCTTGATTGTGAGTATTTGAGTGTTTAGGGTAGCCAGCTGGTTCTGGTCGCGACATGCCGTATGTGAACAAACGGAGCCTGCTTCGTCCCACGCTAAGTATTTACAAAGGTCTGCGACATGGGATTTTAGTGTAAAATGTGGTGAAGCGTGTGGTGAAGTGTGAGTCTGGTTCCAAACACTCACAAATCTGTCCCGTCCGGTCGTATGGAGGTACTATCGTGGGACTGTGTTAGCACCTGATGCCTGCTTACTCGGCTGTGGCGAGGCAAATCAACTTTCACCCGACATATTACAGCACCTTGAAAGTCCATCATGTTATTAGAAACCACGAGCTCAAAAAAAAAAAAAAAAAAATTCATAGCCAGGCTGGATAAAGACGAAGAAAATAGATACGTCGAAACCATCAAACACACCACACAGGTTCCGGGCCAAGTGGACAATGCTTAAGCTGTGTAGATGTTGCCAAAAATGGGTTGAAAACCATCTTGTTATCAATATCGCCATTATTACTACCAGTATTACATGTTGGTACTTTAATATTGTGTTTGATCCCATCGATGCCAGAACTTCGTCGTGACTCATGTCTAAATGCCTACCCTATTCCAAAGTGGCAACATGCGCAGTTAGTAATTTGCAGTCGTTGATTGGCTCGGCCGGATGCGGCATTACTCAATCATGCCACACGGTAACCGAAGCCCCATCCGTTTGTCGATGCCTTTGTCAGCCGACTTGGAGAAGACAATCGATTGCTTCTTCCAACAAACACCTCGTGAAATCCAGCATGAGCAACCCTGCCAGTCCAGCAGCACCATTACTGAACTGATTTCGCGAATACAATTTGGACCTCATGCCGCCGAGATGAACGCCCGCACTCTGGTAGCTCGTGTCGCACTCCGACAAAGTTGCCACTCACTTCGGCAGATTTCGGCGCGTCGACAATTCGCCTCAGCATATCATTCATACTCATTACCGACATCCACCACCCGCAATGTCAATAGGGATAGCATTCCCGAGACCCCGATAGCCCCCCCAGAGGCTCTGCCACAGGTCCACGAGACACGCCCGCCACCAAGACAAGCAACTCCTGCAACACCGCCCGCCACTCCAGACTCGAAAGCGCCAGCGAAAGAGCCAGCGTCAATCTCAAAGGCAAGCGAACCAGCAGCACAAAAGCCCAGAGCTACGCGCCCACGGCCAAAGTTACGTCCTCGGAAAGCGGCCATGAAACTCACGCCCGCCGCTGTAGAGCAGCTTCGGTCGATGCTAGACCAGCCGGAGCCCAAGATCATCAAAGTCGGCGTTCGTAACCGGGGCTGCAGTGGTCTGGCGTATCACCTGGAATATGTGGACAAGCCTGGCACATTTGATGAGATGGTCGAGCAAGATGGAGTCAAGGTGCTCATCGATAGCAAAGCCCTGTTTAGCATCATCGGAACCGAAATGGACTGGGCCGAGGACAAGCTGAACCAACGGTTCGTTTTCAAGAATCCCAACATAAGTACGTTCTTCTTCTTTTTTCCTTGAACCGGGGAGGATCAAGCAGGCGCTGACCGGGATATACAGAGGAACAATGCGGCTGCGGCGAATCCTTCATGGTATAAAACGCAGAGAAAGTAGAATACAGCAACAACAAGATAGGAAACATGCTCATACCGTCCCTGAGACGAGGGCGGCTTTATATTACACAAACACTGCATCTCACGGAGCACGAATTTCTGACGAGGGAAGTCTCGTGCGGTTTCGCAGGTTCCTGACAACTCGGACTTTTGTATTGATGGCCATTTTCAACACAATCGTCTCGCGATACCATCAATCAGCACGACCGGCCGAAATCGTAGAAGATGTCATAGCATCATGTGGCGCATCATTGGACTTGTATTTCACACGGACGGCATATTCGCAGGAATGCCTGCAAAGTTATTAAATCATCAGTCCCACTCATTGTACATGTACTCACGGCGGACAAAGTCATTGGGAGGATTGTGCTAGAATGCTGCATTGAATAGAAACATATGTAGCGTAATGATACCAATGCTGATATGATCACCAAAATCTCCATAGTCTTCATGTCCGATAGAGTCATAAATGACTGTTTAGTCGCAATTGCTTTGGAATTACTCGCTGGGTTCGTTCGATTCGACAACGAAGCGCGTAAGTGGCGTCACGTGGGTTGGCGTCGCGTGTTGCTTTCGATGTGGAAGATTCACGCCCGGATTTGTCATTCAAGTTGACGATTCACGCGGGCCGATCAATACTTCCTTCCCATGGAAGAAGCACTTGGCTAACACATCCAAAGCAACAACCCAAGAAAAAACATATATAATTGTCCGCAGCTCAACCTCCACTACACTCCTCTGATTATCCAATTTGTAAACAATTCCCAAACGCTCTCTGCCCCCGTCCACTCTTGTATACAAATTCACATACCCGGACACGAGCTTCCGTTCAACGCCTTCCGTTCAACGCACACGGGTTTGCCGATCCCCAATGGCCCTTTACGGGAAACGCAAAGACGGCAATCCCGCTGCCTCGGGCGCCAAAACATCCCGCAAGAAGTCGGCCATGCCAGCAAGTACCCCTGCGAGCATGCAAGTGCAACTCTCACGAATCGCCCGCTCCAGCCGTACGGATTTTGAGAAGCGAGTCTGGACGGCGCTTTGCCACATCCCCGAGGGCCAGGTCACTACCTATGGTCTACTCTCCAAGTACCTTGGCTCGTCACCCAGGGCGGTAGGCAATGCCCTGCGACGCAATCCTTTCGCACCTGAAGTCCCTTGTCACAGAGTCGTCGCGACTGGTATGACGCTGGGAGGTTTCAAGGGAAAATGGCCGCGGGATGGAGAGGGAATCACGCTCGATGAGAAGCGAAGTCTTCTCAAGGGCGAGGGCATTAAATTTGATGATAAAGGCAAGGTTTTGAGTACACCGTGGACAGGGTGGTTGTAAAGGAGTGCATGAGCCTTCCTCCAATCTTGATGCTCTTGTGGTTGCGCTCGATAATGGCAACTTAATTGTAGGCCACACTCATTTCCTTATTCATTCATGTGTACGAATTGTATTTGGGTATCTACCAGGGAGTTTTGGATAAATAGGGAAGAATTTTCGTGCCTGAAACGGAATCAAATTCATTGCCGCATTCCGCATCGTGTCGTTTCATCGTTTCATTCATATACACGTTGAAAATTTATGGCTCGAACAACGCTATGGGCACTTCAAGTGCGGGCGTCCCGATAATGTCAGCCCGTAAGCGCTGTGCATGCCAATCTCCTCGATACTCGAGCCTCTCATATGTTTGGGCTAAGCGAACCACTGCACCAAAGCGTGTCAGTAAGCAAAAATCTCTTTTCTATATGGACTTTGATGACTTATATCGACTCACAGCAAAAGGCCATTTCAGTCAAAGCAAAGTTCTGACCCACACATATCCTAGGTCCGCCACTAAACGGCGTATAGGTCCACGGGGTCGGGATCCAATGTTCCCAACGTTCTGGACTGAAAATGGCCGGATCAGCAAAATGTTTGGAAATGGGAGGATACAAGTCTTTTCGGGCATGCATGCCGATTGTGTTGATTGTGACCGTATCTCCCTTCAGGAGGGCGACGTCGGGTTGGCCAGGAGCACCTGGGATCACAGTGTCCTCTAACGCTTGACGCATGTTGATCGGTACAGCTGGGTGAAGCCGAAGCACCTCGTTGAGGATATTCTTCAGGTACTGTATGTTCTTTAGTGTTTCATACGTCGGCATACCGTGGGGACCTAATTCGTTGAGGATCTCCTCGCGCAGCTTCGCCCAAGTCTCGGGGACATATGCCATCTCATACATAGCCCACGACAATGTAGCTGCAGTAGTATCCCTCCCAGCCAGGAGGACTGACATGATTTCGTCCCGAATTATTTTTGGGTCTTTTGTTACTCGAGCGATACTATGAAGAAAGGTATATTGAGTGTCGATCTTTGAAAGCTCCTCGAGCTCATGTTGAGGTAATGAAATAGCGCGTTGGATTATTGGTTCAATGAATTCTTCCAGTTTTCTGATGGAACGATAATAATCTCCTTTTGGAATCAGAGGGGCTATTGGACTGTAGGTTTTGTTAAACCGTGCTTTGCGACAAAGGTTCAGGGAAATGACATACTTTAAGACGAATATGTACATTTGAATCCTTTGAGCGACAGACATTGCCTCTGCAACTTCATTATGGGGACTTTTTAGACGCCATAGTTAGCATATACAACTTTGTGAGTATGTAACTGGTTACTAGTTACTTACTTGTCCAGACTATTGGTATTTTCTCCCAGGAGAAACTCCGTCGTAGTATCCAGAGTCCATCTGTAAAACACGTCCTTGATGTCAACTGTCGTCCCAGATGGTGGCAACCTTGACAAGAGTTTCCTGGTACAATTGTCGAAAATCACCAGATTTCGCAGTCTGTCCTTGACAAACATTGGCCGAATTAGTCCCCTGCTGCGATGCCAATCATCACCGTCAGTCGCAAATATGCCATTCCCGAGAAATGGTCGCCATAGACGGTGCCACTGGGGACCATGTCCAAAGTTGGCAAATTTGGTTGCTAAGATGGCCTTGATCTGCTCAGGCTCCCGTGTAATGAGAACTCTTTTCTTCCCGGTCAAACTAAACTCGGCATAGTTGCTTTGCTTGCTGTCCAATATACCGTTACACCATTGGGCGAGCTTGTTATTATACTGATGGGTCCCAATATCAATATACAGTTTGGTAGCTGTATTTTGAAACGGTGTGTTAGTGAATAGAATCATTGCTGAAGAAATTGTAAAGTAGTTTCTTGTGTCTTCATACCGGAAAGCAGGTTGGCTGCTAGCACCGGCGCCCTGGTACCACCGGCGAGCTGAATTCGAACCCCAGCTACTTTGTGTCTAATCCATACAAGTGAGAAAGCGAAGACGCCGATAGCCACAATGGTAATCCATGATGGAGCGGACCGGATTTCTCGCATAATACTCATTATTTTCACAATATCAAAGTATCAATTCACAGTGAAGGAAGCAGAAAGATGGAAAAAACGCCCGTGAAGAATGAGAATGGAAGAAATGCAAACGAAGGTGACCGATGTGATGAGGTTGGCCCATGTCGGCATAGGGCATGCGCGCAAGTTGATAGCTTCTTTTCATGGTCCGGGCTCCGGGAGCATACATACAATCTCACAACAAGCCGGAGAGTTGAAGGACGGGCCTCGTCCGGTTGGTGATGGGGGAATGGCTGGTTGTACGAGATGCATATTGCAAATCAGATGGCGCCTCTGGATTGGATGCATTCCGAGGTGCTAGGCAGGGGTCCGGGGGCCTCGTTCTAAAGACGATGGTGCGCATGGTGGAACTGCAACAGATCAATGGGGGATGCAGGGGTTTTGGTTGGTGAAGGTGCGAACGAAGAAAACACCGCCTTCGACAAACAATGATCGAATACCGGTGTAGGATAAGAGATGTGAAGAAACGAGATAAACGATGGAAGCTTTTGTCAGCCCTGTAACTGATCATGTGTCATCGATGCTTTTAGCATTGACCAGAGAGGAAGTCGCAACTGGTCGTTGCTGAAGGTGCTGGGATGCACACATCGGGAAGTCGGTCAACAACGCAACATGGGACACACAAGTTCGAAAAATCTGGATTCTGCATAAAAAGGCCACTGCCGCCGTTACAAAGAGGTGGTGAATAGGCCCGATCCATCCTGTTCGCTCAATTGATGCACGAGGCACGAGCAACGATGGCTGCCATCTTGACGAGTGACTTTCTGACCTGTTTGCTCAAGCTGCTATGGGGACGGCGCTACCTTTTTCCGCCCAAGTGCCGGCGAAACTCGGGTTGGCTAGGCCCAAGCTGCCACGCTGGTTTCCCGTTTGAGGTTTGAGAGCTGTTTCGGTGCCTTGTGCATTTACATCAATCCCGTCCTTTCACCTTGACCTCATCGCGAATACCTCTATTTCCTCCGTCACGAGTCAATTGGCAGCTGCCAGTCTCCCGCCAACATGTTCAACATCGGACGCAGCCGTGCCCTGGCATCGGCGCTCAACGCCTCCAAGGTTCGTCAGTGTGGTCTCGTCCATGACCTAGCGCATTTTTTCCCTCGCCATCCCCTTAGTATCAAGCTGCTAACTACATGTTGCTCAACAGCTTCAGGTCGCCCCCGCCGTCAGATTCCCTGGCGTTGCACAACAACGACGAGCTCTGAGTATTCACGAGTACCTCTCTGCCGACCTCCTGCGACAGGTAACAAAGCCCCGACTGCCCCGGATCGTCATCCTCTGGTAGCAGCTAAATACTTGCTCTTACTGACCATATGGTGCACATAGTATGGTGTCGGTGTTCCTAAGGGCGCTGTTGCCAAAACTGCCGAAGAAGCTAAGGCTGTTGCAAAGGAGATTGGCACCGAGGACATGGTCATCAAGGCTCAGGTCCTCGCCGGTGGACGAGGCAAGGGTACCTTTGACAACGGCCTCAAGGGGGGCGTCCGCGTCATTTACTCTCCTCACGAGGCCGAGATGTTTGCCCAGCAGATGATTGGCCACAAGCTCATCACCAAGCAGACCGGCGCTGGTGGCCGTCTCTGCAACGCTGTCTATATTTGCG